ATAATACAACAATCACATATCAATAACAATCACGCATCAATAATCATCAAATAACAATCACACATCAAACAACAACCGCACATCAAATAACATATCAAATAATAATCGACAAATCTCCCAATAACCTACCAACATCAAATTAACCAACTTTCTTTTGACATCTCGTACTATTGTGCCTAGTCTTACCACAGCTTCGACATGTATACGGCTAACAACAAGGCTTTTCTGTTGTAGCCTTGAACCTTTTGGTCGCAGGCTTGCCCTTATGCTTGGTAATTGCTGGATTTTTGATTGCAGAATTATTTTTCTTTTCACTGTTTTCGCTATCATCACTGTCTTTAGGCTCTTCATTTTGTATTAAAAGACGCTTCTTTTGATTAATAAAGTGTTTCAACTATAGTTTCATATTATTATCATCACATTCTACAGCCAATTGTACAGCTTGCCACGCAAGACCCCAAATTTCACCAAATTTAGAATGCCTGGCTGCTGCACTTCAGTTGCTTATTGCTATTGAACAGAGAACTATAAAAGATTGAGGAATCAAAGGTGTTTTTTGACCTTGTTGAGCTTCACTAGTATCCGAATTTGCGAAAATCACATTTTCCTGATCAATTTTCTTTTTCTTGCTATCACAATATCAACACAACGCCACCATTCCAATATGAAATCCAGAAATTCATGATACCAACATTACTTGAAAGTAATATCGACATAGAATACCACGGGATATATTTGACATACATGTATACATATAAGAAATAGAATCAAGAACCATAACGAAGTATTTTTTTTGACTGTTTTCAGGTCATTTATCAGTGATTTGCCAGGTCTCTTTAATATTAATTTGATCCACTTTTGATATCATTAACTTAAGTAAAATCTGCTTCGTGTTATAAACATCTTCTGTAAATCGATCACTTATATTCTCATTCTCGTCATCCAATCCAATTATTGTTAAGTCAACTAATATCGCATCGAAGTATAAATACTGTGCCATTTCAATACGCTCAATAGAAAGAATTTGTAGGGTCAAGTATTCTAAGAGTATATAGTCAACAGCAGGCAATATTTCACTACTAACAGATGCAATCCCAATACATGATGACAGAGTCTGATACTCAAAAAAATGGTTCCACTCAGCCTCTTTTTCTAATTGTGAATCCAAAGTCTTCACCAAATCACATAAACCACTATTACTATGTAATACTCTTTTGATAATATTGTTATATCTATAGTATGAATAGAATTTAATATAACATGTCGGATATTAGTCGACATTCTAGAGTGAAAATGCAGCAATCTAAATCGTAAATTAAGACACAAAATGAAACTCAGACAAGTTGATCTCAACTAATATCTGACACGATCTTAAATATCCTAACCCAATTTATATACCTACACTTAACCCAAACCCTAACCCATAAACCTAACCCAACAATAATCATAAATCTAACCCTAACCCTAATCAAATCAAATTATAATATATTAATTTACAACATACCCTTCAATGCATGATGTAGTTTGAATTTCTGCTGTGAAAACTTTGGATGTGAAGGTACAAGCCCATGAGTAACGACTAGAGTAAAGAGTCTGATTCAGGTAACTTGAAGCAGATAGGAACTTTTCTAATAAAATTTTCCATCTGGACTCAAATAGCATCTTATCCAAAGTATTATGGCAGAGGTAAAAATCTTTGACGAATTGATCATACGCATTATCTAACATTCCCTTCAAATTCTTTGGAAGGTTTTGGCTGATGTGAAAAATACAATGTAATGAATAAGTATTTTCATACACTTGTTTTAATGCACTGTTCATCGCTAGATCTGTATCTGTCACAAAGACCATAGGCTCAACACCTGTAGCTTTCATAGTGCACTAGAGAATCCATAGGTATGAGTCAACAGTTTTATCAGAAACTAATGCTTGTGCAACCAAACGAGATCTCATATTATTATTGACAGCAAGGAACAAACTCAAAGGCATCTAATATCGATTTGTTTTAGATGTATTATCATTTAAAATGATATCGTGATATTCTAGCCAAAGGGATATCTGTTCAGGAGTCATCCAAAAAATCTGAGTAAGGTGGTTATCGCTATCTAACTCGAATTTAACACTCCAACCTGACTCTTCTAAACGCTTTTCAGTAAGATATAATAAAAGTTATGAGACATCAATTTTAAGATCTTTAGACTTAACTTTATAATGTTGAATAGCATTAGTAAGATCTATATCTAAGAAAGTTGCATCAGGGTACTTTGCTCTTAGTAATTGACACTGTATAGTAATCAAAAGATTTCTATTTTTTGTATAAAACTCAATGTCGTTCAATGCTTCGTCTCCAATTGACCTGAACTTAGCATTGTATTTATACTTTTTAGGATCAAGTTCATAGTTGTGGGTATTTACAAATGTTGTAACTGTAATGTGATTAGATTTTTTAGACAAACTTAGATTAATATGCTATTCATATCCTTTACGTTTTGATTGTTGGTTGTGGTGAGCATTAATGTCGATACTCTTCTTAGGTACATATTTTCCTCCAAACTCACATTCAAAAGATCAATATCTAATTATACCGTCGTTATACTGTTTAACCCTTATTTTAATAACAGCAAACCCATGATACTGACCATAAGCTTTAAAAAAAGCTTCAACGTCATCCCATGAAGGGAATATATAACCAAGTTTTAGTAAGGAAAAATCATATTGCATCTCACCTAAAAAATAAGTTTGCAAGCTTGAAATGTTAAAACTAAACCTATAACAAACCATAACTTTATACTACAGTATTACTAATACCTATACTGTTAACCTCCTCAGTAG